GGGGCAGACTCAGGAACTTTCCGGGACGCTGCAGCAAACATCTGACCCGACGCAGCTACCTGACCAAACTCAGCAACCGGAGGAGACACGGTAGTCAGAGTGTACAGGCTCGACCCAGGCTGACAAGAAAACGTGGCCAGGTGCCGGTTCATCCGAGTACACGAACATTGGGTCACCCGCTGACCTCCAGGAGTGAACCGGTCAACCCACGCATCCTGAAGGTCAGCTCCTCTAACCAAGTTCGTGGAGAACGAGGGGAGGTGGAGGCCAGACAGAGAGCCAGACGGGACCGCCGAACACGGCAGAACCGTGGAGGAGTGTGCAAGGTCCGGACCCCCAGAGGGGTCAACAAAGAGACTGCCGCTGGCCGACTAAGCGGCGAGAGTGTGGTGCAGTCGCGAAAGAGGGAGCGGGGAGCACTCGAGTCAAGTGTGAAAGTGTGCAAGGCCGCAGCAGGCGCAGTACCAAAGAGAGCAAACGCAACAGCACCTAGAGCAGTGGACTCACTAGCGCCTAGAGCAGCAGCCTCACCGGCACCTGGAGTAGGAGACGCACCAGCACCTAGAGCAGCAGCCTCACCAGCACCTAGAGCAGCCGACTCTATACCTGGGTCAGGCGGCACACACAGGTAACAGGCACCCTCAGCACTAATAGGCAATGCATACATGGCAGTGAGGATAGCATCATAGTCAAGAGCAAAGATATCTGCCCTCTGCCTAAGCAGCTCCAGCCAGGAGGGGAGCTCAGCGTCGTTGCCAAACTCTGTACGCCATGCGTTGCTTAGACTATCGAAGGAGCGGGATTGTGTGTGACCAACTATCCCGCAAGGATGACCAGCCTGAGCACCAGTGCGAATGACGTACGGGCAGCGAGCAGTACTCCGTGACCCTCTACTCTGAGCGTACCACTCACGATGCTGCTGGGGCAAAAAGACCGCGCGCGGACGCTGCTACAGCTGCACGTGGTAGCTACAAGAAGCTTCTAAACGGCCTCCCGCAGGGCGACTCCCACCACGGCCACCCCTACAACCCCAACTAGCGTACCACTCACGAAGGTGCTTGGGCTGTGGAGAATAGAACGAGAATGAATGAACTATGAATGAAGTGAGTACATATAGGATACCCTAGTTGGGTTGTACCCCCTATGGGATACCCCACTACAGCCTACACAATAGCATAAGCTATATATATGTTCTGACACACCCCCATAGGCAAAGTGGGGGAGAACAAGGGGTCACAAGACCAGTCAAGCAAAGCAAAGCAAAGCTCAGGGTGGATCACAAAGTCACCACACAGTCCGAGCACAAGAGCAAAGGCCAAAGGCTAGTTCACATGCAGGAGTACAGACACATATATATATAAAGCTGGACAAGCAAGAGCAGGTATATATATCTGACAGTACAAGTAAGGTCAAGAGGAGAGCAAGTGAGGCAAAACAGGTACAAGCCCCAGCTGGGTGCAGAAGCGCTGATGGTCACAAGGCGCGAGTGCCTTGGTGAACACATCAGCAGTGTTGGCCTCAGAGGCCACGTACGCAAGCCGCAACTGTCCACGCTGCTGTAGCTCACGAGCAAGGAAGTAGCGAAGAGCAATGTGCTTCGTTCTGTGCTCCAGACGCTGCTCTCGACACGAGGCCAGCATGGCCTTGTTGTCTACGTACAGCACTGGGGGAGAACGAGGCGGCTCTCCAAGGTCAGTCAGCAGGTAGGTGAGCCAGCGAAGCTCCTGTGCAGCCATGGCCCCAGCGTAGATCTCAGCCTCACAACTGGAGCTGAGAACCGACGACGAGCGAGTAGCCCGCCACGAGACAGAGCCGGAACCAAGGCTGAAGGTGTAACCCTGTGACGACCGCTGCGTAGCCTGGTCGTCAGCCCAAGAAGCGTCCGCATGACCTGTAAGGACCACTGGACTCCGCCCTCCAAGCACTAGCCCCATGCCCGACGTACTGCACAGGTAGCGCAATACCCTCTTCGCTGCAGCCATGTGCTCTGGTCGGTGTCTCCCAGGAGCAACATAGCGTGCAAGAATGCTAAGAGGGTATGCAAGGTTAGTTCGTGTGCAGGTCATCAGGTACATGAAGCAGCCAACAAGCTCTTGGTACGGGCCACTCGACTCTACGGACTCATCCGAAGGCAGAGCTGAGAGCGAGTGGCGAGTAGGCAGAGGAGTGGCCTGAGGCAAGGAGTACGTGAAGCCGAAGCGCTGAAGGACCTGCTGCACCATGTGTGACTGAGTCAAGGTAATGGTGCGGCGTGCTCTGTCCCGAGTGATCTGCAAGCCAAGGTAGCTGCGCAGTTCACCCAGGTCTGTGCACGTGTGTCTCTTCAGCAGCTCGGACTTCACGTAGGCGAGTCCAGCAGTGTCCGCTGTGGCAAAGACCAAGTCGTCGACGTACACGAGGATGTAGAACGGCGGCAGAGAAGTGTTGGTGCGCAGAAACAGCGACGGGTCAGCAGTAGAAGGAGCAAACCCAAGAGCCGCAAGCGTAGTCCTCAGTGTGTCGTGCCACTCACGCGGTGCCTGGCGGAGACAGTAGACTGGCCGTCGGAGGCTCCACTGGGTGCCAGGAGGGAAAGTCCCAGTGAAGCCAGGTGGACGGCGCAGCCAGATCTCCTCGTGCAGGCTACCCTGCAAGAACGCAGTGCTGAAGTCGAGAGAGTGAAGCTCGTAGTCGCGCTGCGCGGCTATGTGCAGCAGCACCCGAAGAGTGGTCATCTTCAGGGTGGGAGAGAAGGTCTGAAAGTAGTCAACTCCCTGCCGCTGACTGAAGCCACGAGCCATGTACCGCGCCTTGAAGACAGGTGGAGAGCCCGGCGGCCGCTTCACCCTGAAGATCCACATGCCACTGACGATGTTCGCCCCAGGAAGGGGAAACGCGTCAACGTAGGTGCCTGTGGACTTCCAGGAAGCCATCTCTGCATCCATAGCTGCCTGCCACTGAGAGGAGTAGGGACCCTCTACGGCCTCCGCGTAAGAGCGCGGAGTCGGGATGTCTAGTGCATCCGGGTCTCCCTCAGGAGCAAGTAGTACAGACGCGAGATGAGGTGAAGCAGCAGCCAGACACTGTAACTCCTCTTGCCTGTCCTCTAGGACGTCCGTGCCAAGAGCACACTCACCCCCGACGGACGGAGGACAGACAGACGTAGACTAAGCAACAAGACTAGCAGCGTAGTCTAGACGACAGCGAGCAGCAAAGTCGACGAGCTCAGCGACAAGAGCAAACGAAGCAGCGGACTCAAAAGAGGGGTCAGTGACGACACTAGCAAGCAGACGCGTGACAGTAGGACTGGCAGCACAAAGGGAGTCCGACTCTGGGTCGGTAAGCACAGAAAGGGAAGACTCGGGAGGAGAAGGCAAAGGGGCACGCAGAGGAGCAGTGGACGGACGCAGAGACATCCGGTGCGTGCCAGGGACAGGAGGAGGACGCTGACGCGAACCACGACCACTAGCGCGAGCAGCACGAACAGGCGACGCGGCACGAGACGCAGGCTCACGACGCTCAGCAAGACCTCCAGTAGGACCAGTGTAAGGGGAGGGAGAAGGCAGTGGGGAGGTGGGCTCCAACAGTGACTGTGACTGTACAGGCTGTGGACACTCTACCGGAGGAGAAAGACCAAGAACCTGCTGCAGGAGCGGAACGAAGTACGGTCGAGGCCGCGCGGCAGCTCCAGACGCAGCAGGGACAGCACCAGCACCCTCAGCGGCAGCACCAGCGCCACCAACACCTCCAACGGTTGGACCTCCAGCAGCACCAGCAGCAAAACCACCGCCAGGACAGACAGCAGTAGTCTCAGCACCAACACCCCGAGCAGCTCCAGCTCCTGTAGGACCCGCAGGCCCAGCAACTCCGAGACCGGCGGCACCAGCACCCTTGACGATCGAAGAAGCTCCAGCTCCAGCAGTACGCCTCCAGCGGCGAGCAAACCACTCGCGCAGCTCCTTGGGAGAGAGGGGCTCCCGCCGAGACGCAGCACCAGGAGAAACCCCAGGCTCAGCAGCAACAGACGCAGCACCCCCAGGCTCAGCAGCTCCAGACTCAGCACCCCCAGGTGCAGCAGCTCCAGACTCAGCACCCCCAGGCTCAGCAGCACCAGACTCAGCACCCCCAGGCTCAGCACTCCCTAGCTCAGCAGCTCTAGGCACAGCACCCCCCGGCTCAGCACCCCCAGGCCCAGCACCCTCAGAGTCAGCACCCGCAGCAGCACCAGAGTCACCAGTAACCTCGACCGGGTCAACTGCGTCTACCTGGGACACACCTGAGGGGGCAGGAACCTGAGGGGGAAAGGGGTCTAGCGGGGGGGGAACCGGTACAAGGAAGTCCGGCGGCGGGGGGAGGGAAGGAGTGCGGTAGGGGAAGAGGCGGTAGAAGGGGACTGACTCGTCGAACGTGACGTCCTGGGAGGACAGAACACGACGAGAGGAGGGGTGGTAGAACTTCCACCCTGGAGCGTCAGGGGGGAAGCCAAGGAAGACACAGGGAGCAGAACGAGGGGACAGCTTGTCCGTAGACAAGTCGCGAACAAACGCCCGAGATCCCCAGACACGGAACGCAGACGCATCGCCGACCTTCCCCGTCCACAGCAAGGCTGGGGACATCGCGGGCCGAGAGACCCTGGGGTGAAGGTTGAGCTGATGCGCCGCGTACCGTACCGCAAACGGCCACAGAAAATGGGGGGCAGCCGCATGCATCATGGACGTACGAGCGACATCCATGACCATGCCAATGCGGCACTCACCAATCCCATTTTGCTGTGGAGAGTCGAGAAGCGTAAAGGTCTGGCGGATCCCCCGTGCACGACAGTAGTCTCGCAGAAGGCGAGAGGAGAACTCCCCACCTCCGTCAGAGTGCAGACGCAGAACAGGAAAGTCCGAGCCGAAGCTCCTGCTGAGCTGGAGACGAGCCTTGCGGATCCAGTCGATCAGCACCTCAGTGACAGCACCCTTGCTGCGCAAGGGGAAGACTGTGGTGTAACGCGAGTAGTCGTCAACCACCAACAGGAATTAGCGCTCGTGACCCTGCCCACGGACGGGGGCTGGGCCCCACACGTCCATGTGAAGTGTCTGCAGAGGAGCCTCCGTCGGGGGAAACTGGGAGGAGTGAGGAGCAGCCCGGAGGCGCCCCTCGACACAGGGGACACAGGAAGGTCCTGGTCCCGAAGGAAGGGGAGGGAGAGACTGGGGAAGACCAGAGACAAGGACACGGGAAACCATGCCCCAAAGACGGGGCAAGGAGGGGTGGCCAAGACGGTGGTGCCACAGAAGGGTCTCGTGAGACAGGAGGCGACACGAACAGGGGGCAGACTCAGGGCCAGACCGCGACGCAGCAGCAAACACCTGACCTGATGCAGCTACCAAACCAGACGCAGGGACAGGAGGAGACGCAGTGGTCAGGGTGTAGAGGCTCGACCCCAGCCGACGCGAGAACGTGGCCAGGTGCCGGCCGGTGCGTGCGTCCGTGCAGTGGGTCACCCGCTGACTCGCAGGAGTGAACTGGTGAACCCCCGCATCCTGTAGGTCCGCACCACTCACCAAGTTCGTCGAGAACGAGGGAAGGTACAGACCAGACAGGGTGCCCGAGGGGGCAGCCGGACACGGGTGGACAGAGATGACAGGACCCCCAGAGGGGTCAGCCAGGGAGACCGCAACCGGCCAGCCAAGCGGCATGAGGGTGGTGCGGTCTCGAAAGAAGGAGCGAGAAGCCCCGGAGTCAAGTGTGAAGGTGAGGGAGGACGAAGGCGACGCAGTACCTGAGAGCGCAGTCTCACCAGTACCTGAGAGCGCGGACGCACTGGCACCTAGAGCAGCAGCCTCACAAGCACCTAGCGCAGCAGTACCAATGCCCGGGTCGGGCGGGAAACACCGGTAACAGTCACCCTCCTCACTAATAGTCACAGCATACATAGCAGCAAGGATAGCATCAAAGTCAAGATCAAAGATCGCTACACCAGCCCTAAGAAGCTCATCCCAGCGGGGAATCTCACTAGCCTCGGGGAACTGCTGACGCCAAGCGTCCGTCAGGCGGCCAAAGCAGCGCTGGGTAGGGTGGGCACCCTCACACTGCTCACCCGCGCGGTCGCCGGAACGAAGGACGTAGGTACACGGACCAGCACCCCCACCCCTCTGACGCCGAGTGTACCACTCACGGAGCTGATGGGGCGGAGGGATGTCCCGCGAACGCTGCTGCTGCTGCTGGCGCTGACCACTACCAGCGCCGCTCCGCTGCGAGGTACCTCCCCGACCAGCTCCACCCCCTCCGCCACCACCGCCTCCTCCTGCGCCTCCTCCGCCGCCTCCACCTCCACCGCTGCCACCACCACCACCGCTGCCGCCACCACCGCCGCCTCCGCCGCCGCTGCCACCACCACCACCACCCCCTCCACCACTCCCGCCGCCACCCCCACTCCCTCCGCCGCCTCTACCGCCACCTCCACCGCCCCCTCCAGCTCCACCCGCACCCTTGCCCCCCTTGCCCTTGCTAGAGCGTCGTCTCCCGCTAGGGGCAGACGCCGCGCCGACCGACTCAAGACCAAGCAGGTCGGCAGCAGCAGCAGAGGCAACAGAGGGCAGCAGGGGGGAAGGAGAGCACCCCTCAAAGATGGGGGTGCGAGGGTCACCACGAGAAGCTCCTACAGCGACGATACTCTTCTCCACCACTAGGAGGGCCTTCTCGAGGAGGTCGACAGTGAGGGTGGTGGGACAGACTGCAAGAAAGTGGTCCCTGACTACGCGAAGAGAGTCAGGGAGGCGTGCGACTACGTAGTAGAGAGTGATGTACATGGGGGGGGGGGTTCTTGGCGCAGAACTCAGCAGGAAGGGCGGCGCGGTAGCGAGTGTCACTAGTGTGGAGGTGCGTAATGAGGTCAGCGACAGTGGGAAAGGCAGAGAGGTCAGAAAAGAGGTAGGGAAGCATGAGACGGCTTAGTGCAGTAGTGGCAGGGGAAGAGTAGCGCGCAACTACAGCGTCGTACAAGGTCTGAGCACTCTTGTACTGACTAAAGTGCGCGCGCTTAGAGGTAGGGAGGTGGCGACGCACAGCAAGACGTGCAGCAGCATCGCGAGTGGCCTACTGAGAGCGAACAGTGGGGTCAGCATCAGCAGCAGGGGCAGGAGAGGCGCCAGAAGTGAGGTCAAAGAGAGAAAGGCCGTCTGCTCTATCGCACTGTAAGAACAGCTGCAGGTCGTCGACCCAGACCTCAAAGTCAATGGCGCGACCCTCAGCGTCAAAAGCTAGGACACTAGGGGTAGCCATGACAGCAGTCGACGGTCTCACCAGACAGGACGGGTCGGGCATCTCAGTAGCACAGCAGCACAGCAACACAGCAGCTCACCCGACTCAGCAGCAACAGCAGCTCCGCGGGACCAGCGGCTCGGCTCCTCAGGCGGTGCAGGCGGCTCGGGCGGCTCGGGCAGCTCGGGCGGCTCGGGCGGCTCAGGCGGCTCGGGCGGCTCGGGCAGTCAGCGGCACAGGCGGCTCGTGCGGCTCGGCTCCTCAGCTGCGCAGACGGCTCGGGCGGCTCAGGTTGCACGGCGGCTAACGGGCGGCGTGGGGGCCGGGACGGCGGCGTGTAGCAGAGACGGGCGGCGCACGGGCGGTGTGAGGCCGGGACGGCAGCGCACGGCTGGGGCGGGAGGCGCACGGGCGGCTGGGAGCAGGGCCGGGACGGGTGAGGGGCCAGGACGGGCGGTGTCCTGGCGCCGATGGGCCGAGTCGGGCGGCGCGCGAGCGGTGAGGGGCCGGGACGGGCGCGCACGGGCGGCTAGGGGCCGGGACGGGCGCGCGCGGGTGGCTAGGGGCCGGGACGGGCGGCGCGCAGGCGGCTAGGGGCCAGGACGGGCGGCGTGCGGGCGGCTAGGGGCCTGAACGGGCGGCGCGCGAGCAGCTAGGGGCCGGGACGGGCGGCGCACGGGCGGCTAGGGGCCTGAACGGGCGGCGCGCGGGCGGCTAGGGGCCTGAACGGGCGGCGCGCGAGCGGCTAGGGGCCGGGACAGGCGGCGCGCGGGCGGCTAAGGGCCGGGACGGGCGGCGCACGGGCGGCTAGGGGCCTGAACGGGCGCGCGCGGGCGACTAAGGGCGGCGCGCGGGCGTCTAGGGGGCCGAAGGGCAGGCCGAAAGAGTGAGAGCGAGGGCGCGGAGCGCGCTCCGGGCAGAAAAAAAGTTTAAAAAAAAGTGGTGGGCCCTAAGCACAGTTCCCACGGGGGAACCTGCTCGATACCATGTGGAGAATAGAACGAGAATGAATGAACTATGAATGAAGTGAGTACATATAGGAAACCCTAGTTGGGTTGTACCCCCTATGGGATACCCCACTACAGCCTACACAATAGCATAAGCTATATATATGTTCTGACAGGGGCGTGAGGGACTCACGCGCACGTCGCTGGAGCTGCATCTGGACACAGCCAGGAGCAGCAGTAGCAGTAGTAGCCGCAGTAGCAGCAGTAACAGCAGTAGCAGTAGTAGCAGCAGTAGTAGCAGTAGTAGCAATAACAGTAGTAGCAGCAGTAGCAGCGCGGCCACCCCTACAACCCCAACTCGCGTACCACTCACGAAGCTGCTGGGGCGTGAGGGACTCACGCGGACGTCGCTGGAGCTGCATCTGGCCACCGCCAGGAGCAGGAGTAGCAGTAGGAGCAGTAGCAGCAGCAGTAGCAGCAGAAACAACAGTAGCAGCACGGGTAGGGCAGTGTGGCTCAGTAGAGCTGGGCTGCACAGCCTGGCAGCACGGCACGGCTCGGCTGGGCGGCTCGGCGCCGCAAGGCGGCTCGGCTCAGCTGGGCGGCGCGGCTCGGCTGGCAAGCAGGCGCGACAGGCAGGCTAGCGCGGCAGCACGCTAGTAAGGCACGTGCGCGGGAAGCGCGGGTAGAGCAAGTGCTCACCAGTGGCGGGAAGGGCAGTCGCTCGCCGGACGAGCAGGGTAGGCGCATGACGGCAGCGTCGACGAGGCCGGGACAGCTGCAGGGCGGGGCCGCGACAGCGGTAGGGGGCTCCACTGCAGCTGCTGCAAGGCGGGACCGCGACTGCTGCAAGCGGCTCCGCGGCAGCTGCAGCAGGGCGGGGCCGCGACGGCGGTAGGGGGCTCCGCGGCAGCTGCTGCAGCAGGGGCGACGCCCCGGGGGCGCCGTAATGAGCAGGGACGGCGCCCAGGGGGGCGCCGCGATGAGCAGGGGCGACGCCCCGAGGGCGCCGCGACAAGCAGGGACGGCGCCCAGGGGGCGCCGCGACGAGCAGGGGCGACGTCGCGGGGGCGTCACGACGAGCAGGGACGTCGCCCAGGGGGGCGCCGCGACGAGCAGGGGCGACGCCCCGGGGGCGACAAGCACGGACGGCGCCCATGTGGCGCCGCGACGAGCAGGGGCGACGCCCAGGGGGCGCCTCGACGAGCAGGGAAGGCGCCCCGGGGGCGCCGCGACGAGCAAGGAAGGCGCCCAAGGGGCGCCGCGACGAGCAGGGGCGACGCCCCGGGGGCGCTGCGACGAGCAGGAACGTCGCCCAGGGGGCGCCGCGACGAGCAAGGGCGTCGCCCCGAGGGGCGTCGCGACGAGCAGGGACGGCGCCCAGGGGGCGCTGCGACGAGCAGGGGCGACGCCCCGGGGGCGTCGCGACGAGCAGGGACGGCGCCCAAGGGGCGCCGCGACAAGCAGGGGCGACGCCCCGGGGGCGCCGCGACGAGCAGGGACGGTGCCCAGGGAGCGCCGCGACGAGCAGAGGGGGGATGCCGCGCGGGTCCCGCAGGGGTGTCGCGACGAGCAGGGTTAAGGGCGGCGCGCGGGCTGCAGAGGCAGCTCCCACGGGCTGCAGAGGTAGGCACGGCTGCAGAGGCAGCGCCCACGGGCTGCAGGGGCAGGCACGGCTGCAGAGGCAGCGCCCACGGGCTGCACGGGCAGGCACGGCTGCGAAGGCAGCGCCCACGGGCTGCAGGGGTAGACATGGCTGCAAGGGCAGCACGGTCGCAGGGGCAGCACGCGGGCTGCAAGGGCAGCGCGGCTGCAGGGGAGCCAAAATAAGAAAAAAATCAGTTAGGGCAGGGCGGAACGTTTGGTGGGCCCTAGGAACGATTCTGCTCTAATACCATGTGAGAATAAGAACGAGGAATGAATGAACTAGCAAGCAGGTGGGTACACGTACGGAAACCTAAATGAGTTGTACCCCATATTGTTTACCCCACTGCAGCCTACAACATAGTTCTCACAAGAAATTCGCCAAAGCGAATTCTGCAGAAGTCAGCGCGGAACTCTGCAGCAGAGTCATCCCGAAGAAGGGGAAAACGGGTTTCGCTGCAGACGAAGGCGAATCTACCGAGCAGAACGTGGAGCTGCAGAGGGCGCATCTGCAGAAGTTACGATTTGCAGAGGATGGCGCATCTGCAGAAGCGAAATTCTGCAGAGGACCGAGTCTTCTACCGACGCAAAAGTGCGATCGTTTCGGAACTTTTGCGTGGGAAATTCGGAACATTGCAGGACATTGAGAAATTGACCCTGGGGAACACTGCGCGGAACTAGGGTGTTCAATCTGGGGCGAAATTAAACCACCTGCACAAAATGGACCTGGGCGAAATTAAACCACCGTAACTACGAAAACGTGCATTACAGAAGTTGTTTAAAACAACCTGAACAGCTAAAACAACAACTTTTAGGTAGGTAAAAATTACCAACTAAGCACGTGTGCGTGGAACTAGGTGTCAAGTTATAATATTGTGTAGGCTATAGTGGGGTAGCCCATATGGGGTACACATTGCTAGGGTTGCATATTTGTATCACTTCATTCCTTAGTCAATCCATTCTTGTTCTACTTTCCTCATGGTATCGAGCAGGTTCCCCCATGGGAACTGTGCCTAGGGCCCACCACATCGAGATTTTTTTTTTCCTGCCCAAAGCGCGCTCCGCCTGAGTCGCGCTCCGGGCTCTCACCTCGTCGAGCTGCCCTAGCGGCCCCACCCTCCCCTAGCGGCCCCGCCACCCGTTAGCGCGGCCCCGCCGCCCGTTCGCGCGGCCCCGCCGCCCGCATTCGCGGCCCCGCCGCCCATTTCGCGCGGCCCCGCCGCTCGCTAGCGCGGCCCCGCCGCCCGCATTCGCGGCCCCGCCACCTGCATTCGCGGCCCCGCCGCCCGTTCGCGCGGCCCCGCCGCCCGTTAGCACGGCCCCGCTGCCTGCTTTCGCGGCCCCGCCACCCTACTCCGCGGCCCCGCCGCCCTTCTACAGCGGCCCCGCCGCCCTTCTCCTGCGGCCCCGCCGCCCTACTCAGCGGCCCCGCCGCCCTACTCCTGCGGCCCCGCCGCCCTACTCTGCGGCCCCACCGCCTTGCTTCAGCGGCCCCGCCGCCCTACTCCGTGGCCCCGCCGCCCTGCTCCTGCGGCCCCGCCGCCCTACTCAGCGGCCCCGCCGCCCTGCTTCAGCGGCCCCGCCGCCCTCATCGGCGGCCCTGCCGCCCTTCTCCTGCGGCCCCGCCGCTCTACCCAGCGGCCCCGCCGCCCTTCTCAACGGCCCCTCCGCTCTAAACTCCTACAGCGCCGCCCGAGCCGCCCGTGCCGCCTCGCCCCGCCGAGCCGCCAACCGCCGCGCCGCCCTGCAGTAGCACAACCGAGCCGCCCAGCAGCAGAGCAGCCGAGCCGCCCCGCCGCCGAGCCGCCCTGCCGCCGAGCCGCACTGCAGCCGAGCCGAGCCGAGCCGCACAGCAGCCGAGCCGCCCGGCCGCCCACCAGCCAAGCCGCCGTGCAGCCGAGCCGCCGTGCAGCCGAGCCGCCCAGCAGCCGAGCCGCCGAGCTGCCCTGCAGCCGAGCCGCCCGAGCAGCCTTGTCCGGTGAGCACAACCCCTCTGTCACTGCGTGCCCTTCCCCTACTGCTTGCACTACTGGTCTACTGCTGTCATGGCTACCCCTAGTGTCCTCGCTTTTGACGCTGAGGGTCGAGCCATTAACTTTGAGGTCTGGGTCGATGACCTGCAGCTGTTCTTACAGTGCAATAGGGCGGACGGTCTCTCAATCTTTGACCTCACCTCTGGCGCCTCTCCTGCCCCTGCTGCTCATGCTGACCCCACTGTTCGCTCTCAGTGGGCCACCCGCGATGCTGCTGCACGTCTTGCTGTGCGTCGCCACCTGCCTACCACTGAGCGCGCACTTTAGTCAGTACAAGAGTGCTCAGACCTTGTACGACGCTGTAGTTGCGCGCTACTCTTCCCCTGCCACTACTGCACTGAGCCGCCTCATGCTACCGTACGTCTTCCCTGACCTTGCTGCCTTTCCCACAGTTGCTGACCTCATTACGCACCTCCGCACTAGTGACACTCGCTACCGCGCCGCGCTTCCTGCTGAAATCTGCGCCAAGAACCCCCCCCCCATGTACATCGCTCTCTATTACATAGTCACTCGCCTCCCTGACTCCCTTCGCGTAGTCAAGGACCACTTCCTCTCAGTCTGTCCCACCACTCTCACTGTTGACCTCCTAGAGATGGCCCTCCTAGCAGCGGAGACCCCCATCTTTGAGGGGTGTTCCCCTTCCCCCTTGTTGCCCTCTGTCGCCTCTGCTACTGCGGCCGACCTACTTGGTCTTGAGTCGATCGGTGCGGCGTCTGCCCCTAGCGGGAGACGCCGCTCTGGCAAGGGCAAGGGGGGCAAGGGCGCGGGTGGAGCTAGCGGGGGTGGTGGAGGTGGCGGTGGAGGCGGCGGAGGGAGTGGGGGTGGTGCCTCTGTGAAAAGAATGAACAGGAATGAGAATGACTAAGTCAGAGTTGGGTACAAATACAACCCTAGAAAGCTGTACCCCATATGTGCTACCCCACTATAGCCTACAAACATGCATCAGCTATGATAATCTGACACACCCCCATAGGCAAAGTGGGGGAGAGCAAGGGGTCACAAGACCAGTCAAGCAAAGCAAAGCAAAGCAAGCTCAGGGTGGATCACAAAGTCACCACACAGTCCGAGCACAAGAGCAGGGCCAGAGGCCAGTTCACATGCAGGAGTACAGACATATATATAAAACTAGACACGCAAGAGCAGGTATATATATATGTCACAGTACAAGTGAAGTCAAGAGGAGAGCAAGTGAGGCAAGACAGGCACAAGACCCAGCTGGGTGCAAAAGCGCTGATGGTCACAAGGCGCGAGTGCCTTGGTGAACACATCAGCAGTGTTGGCCTCAGAGGCCACGTACGCAAGTCGCAACTAACCACGCTGCTGCAGCTCACGAGCAAGGAAGTAGCGGAGAGCAATGTGCTTCGTTCTGTGCTCCAAGCGCTGCTCTCGACACAAGGCCAGCATGGCCTTGTTGTCTACGTACAGCACCGGAGGAGAACGAGGCGGCTCTCCAAGGTCAGTCAGCAGGTAGGTGAGCCAGCAAAGCTCCTGTGCAGCCATGGCCCCGGCGTAGATCTCAGCCTCACAACTGGAGCCGAGAACCGAAGACGAGCGAGTAGACCGCCACGAGACAGAGCCGGAACCAAGGCTGAAGGTGTAACCCTGTGACGACCGCTGTGTAGCCTGGTCGTCAGCCCAAGAAGCGTCCGCGTGGCCGGTAAGGACCACTGGACTCCGCCCTCCAAGCACTAGCCCCATGCCCGACGTACTGCACAGGTAGCGCAATACCCTCTTCGCTGCAGCCATGTGCTCTGGTCTGTGTCCAGGAGCAACATAGCGTGCAAGAATGCTAAGAGGGTATGCAAGGTCAGGTCGTGTGCAGGTCATCAGGTACATGAGGCAGCCAACAAGCTCTGCAGACGGACCACTCGACTCTACGGACTCATCCGAAGGCAGAGCTGAGAGTGAGTGGCGAGTAGGCAGAGGAGTGGCCTGAGGCGAGGAGTACGTGAAGCCGAAGCGCTGAAGGACCTGCTGCACCATGTGTGACTGAGTCAAGGTAATGGTGCGGCGTGCTCTGTCCCGAGTGATCTGCAAGCCAAGGTAGTTGCGCAGCTCACCCAGGTCTGTGCACGTGTGTCTCTTCAGCAGCTCGGACTTCACGTAGGCGAGTCCAGCAGTGTCCGCTGTGGCAAAGACCAAGTCGTCGACGTACACGAGGATGTAGAACGGCGGCAGGGAAGTGTCGGTGCGAAGAAACAGCGACGGGTCAGCAGTAGAAGGAGCAAACCCAAGGGCCGCAAGCGTAGTCCTCAGTGTGTCGTGCCACTCACGCGGTGCCTGGCGGAGACCGTAGACTGGCCGTCGGAGGCTCCACTGGGTGCCAGGAGGGAAAGTCCAAGTGAAGCCAGGTGAACGGCGAAGCCAGATCTCCTCGTGCAGGCTACCCTGCAAGAACGCAGTGCTGAAGTCGAGAGAGTGAAGCTCGTAGTCGCGCTGAGCGGCTATGTGCAGCAGCACCCGAAGAGTAGTCATCTTCGGGGTGGGAGAGAAGGTCTGAAAGTAGTCAACTCCCTGCCGCTGACTGAAGCCACGAGCGACGTACCGTGCCTTGAAGACAGGTGGAGAGCCCGGCGGCCGCTTCACCCTGAAGATCCACATGCCACTGACGATGTTCGCCCCGGGAGGGGGAACCGCGTCAACGTAGGTGCCTGTTGACTTCCAGGAAGCCATCTCTGCATCCATAGCTGCCTGCCACTGAGAGGATTAGGGACCCTCTACGGCCTCCGCGTAAGAACGCGGAGTCGGGATGTCTAGTGCATCCGGGTCTCCCTCATGGGCAAGCAGTACAGACGCGAGATGAGGTGAAGCAGCCGCTAGACACTGTAACTCCTCCTGCCTGTCCTCAAGGACGTCCGTGCCAAGAGCACACTCACCCCCGACGGACGGAGGACAGACAGACGCAGACTCAGCAACAAGACTAGCAGCGTAGTCGAGACGACAGCGAGCAGCAAAGTCGACGAGCTCAGCGACTAGAGCAGACGCAGCAGTGGACTCAAAAGAGGGGTCAGTGACGACACTAGCAAGCAGACGCGTGACAGTAGGACTGGCAGCACGAAGAGAGTCCGACTCAGGGTCGGCAAGCGCAGGAAGAGAGGACTCAGGAGGAGAAGGCAAAGGGGCACGCAGAGGAGCAGTGGACGGACGCAGAGACATCCGGTGCGTGCCAGGGACAGGAGGAGGACGCTGACGCGAACTGCGACCACTAGCGCGAGCATCACGAACAGGCGACGCGGGACGAGACGCAGGCTCACGGCGCTCAGCAAGACCTCCAGTTGGACCAGTGTAAGGAGAGGGAGCAGGCAGTGGAGAGGAAGGCTCCAGCAGGGACTGCGACTGGACAGGCGATAGACCCTCTACCGGAGGAGAAAGACCAAGAACCTGCTGCAGGAGCGGAACGAAGTACGGCCGAGGCCGCGCGGCAGCTCCAGACTCAGCAGGGACAGCACCAGCACCCTCAGCGACAGCACCAGCGCCACCCACACCTCCAGCGGCAGGACCAACAGCAGTAGGCTCAGCACCAACGCCCTCAGCAGCTCCGGCTCCAGGAGGACCCGCAGGTCCAGCAGCTCCGGGACTGGCAGCACACGCACCCTCGACGGTCGAAGAAGCTCCAGCTCCAGCTCCAGCAGCACCTCCAGACTCAGCAGCATGCCTCCAGCGGCGAGCGAACCACTCGCGCAGCTCCTGTGGAGAGAGGGGCTCCCGGCGAGACGCAGCAGTAGGAGAAACCCCAGGCTCAGCAGCTCCAGACGCAGCACCCCCAGGCTCAGCAGCTCCCAACTCAGCACCCCCAGGCTCAGCAGCTCCCGACCCAGCACCCCCAGACCCAGTACCTCCAGGCACAGCACCCCCCGGCTCAGCACCCCCAGGCTCCGCACCCTCCGCAACAGCACCCTCAGGCCCAGCACCCCCAGCAGTAGCACCCCCAGGCTCAGCACCCCCGCGCACAGCACCCCCAGAGTCAGCACCCCCAGGCTCAGCACCCGCAGCAGCACCAGAGTCACTAGTAACCTCGACCGGGTCAACGGCGTCTACCTGGGACACACCTGAGGGGGCAGGAACCTGAGGGGGGAGGGGGTCTACCGGGGGGGGAACCGGCACAAGGAAGTCCGGGGGAGGGGGGAGGGAAGGAGTGCGGTAGGGGAAGAGACGGTAGAAGGGGACTGACTCGTCGAACGTGACGTCCTGGGAGGACAGAACACGACGAGAGGAGGGGTGGTAAAACTGCCACCCTGGGGCTTCAGTGGGGAAGCCAAGGAAGACACAGGGAGCGGCACGAGGGGACAGCTTGTCCGCAGACAAGTCGCGGACAAACGCCCGAGATCCCCAGACACGGAACACAGACGCATCGCCAACCTTCCCCGTCCACAGCAAGGCTGGGGACATCGCAGGCCGAGAGACCCGGGGGTGAAGGTTGAGCTGATGCGCCGCGTACCTCACCGCAAACGGCCACAGAAAATGGGGGGCAGCCGCATGCATCATGGACGTACGAGCGACATCCATGACCATGCCAATGCGGCGCTCAGCAATCCCATTTCGCTGTGGTGAGTCCGGAAGCGTGAAGGTCAGGCGGATCCCCCGTGCACGACAATAGTCTCGTAGAAGGCGAGAAGAGAACTCTCCGCCTCTGTCCGAGTGCAGACGCAGAACAGGGAAGTGAGAGCCGAAGCTCTTCCTGAGCTGGAGACGAGCCTCGCGGATCCAGTCGATCAGCACCTCAGTGACCGCACCCTTGCTGCGCAGGGGGAGGACTGTGGTGTAACGCGAGTAGTCGTCAACCACCAACAGGAAGTAGCGCTCGTGACCCTGCCCACGGACGGGGGCTGGGCCCCACACATCCATGTGAAGCGTCTGCAGGGGAGCCTCTGTCGGGGGGAAGTGGGAGGAGTGAGGAGTAGCCCGGAGGCGACCCTCAACACAAGGGACACAGGAAGGTCCTGGCCCGGAGGGGAGAGGAGGGAGAGACTGGGGAAGACCAGAGACAAGGACACGGGAAGCCATGCTCCGAAGACGGGGCAAGGAGGGGTGGCCAAGACGGTGGTGCCACAGGAGAGTCTCGTGAGACAGAAGGTGACAAGAACAGGGGGCAGACTCAGGACCTGACCGGGACGCAGCAGCAAGCACCTGACCTGACGCAGCCACCTGACCAGACGCAGGGACAGGAGGAGACTCAACGGTCAGGGTGTAGAGACTCGACCCCGGCCGACGCGAGAACGTGGCCAGGTGTCGGCCTCTGCGTGCCTCCGTGCAGTGGGTCACCTGCTGACTCGCAGGAGTGAAGTGGTGAACCCCCACATCCTGCAGGTCCGCGCCACTCACCAAGTTTGTAGAGAACGAGGGAAGGTACAGACCAGACAGGGTGCCCGAAGGAGCAGCCGGACACGGGAGGACAGTGGAGAAGTGAGACAGGACAGAACCCCCAGAGGGGTCAGCAAGGGAGACTGCAACCGGCCGGTCGAGCGGCGTAAGGGTAGTGCGGTCTCGAAAGAAGGAGCGAGAAGCCCCGGAGTCAAGTGTGAAAGTGAGGGAGGACGAGGACGACGCAGTACCTGAGAGCGCAGTCTCACCAGTACCTGAGAGCACAGACGCACTGGCACCTAGAGCAGCAGCCTCACAAGCACCTAGCGCAGCAGTACCAATGCCCGGGTTGGGCTGGAAACACCGGTAACCCTCATTCTCCTCACTATAAGTCACAGCATACATAGCAGCAAGGATGGCATCAAAATCAAGATCAAAGATCGCTACACCAGCCCTAAGAAGCTCATCCCAGCGAGGGATCTCAGTAGCCCCAGGGAACTGCCAACGCCAAGCGTCCGTCAGGCGGCCAAAGCAGCGCTGGGCAGCGTGGGCACCCCCACACTGCTCACCCGCGCGGTCGCCGGAACGAAGAACGTAGGTGCAGGGACCAGTACCCCCACCCCTCTGACGCCCAGCGTACCACTCACGAAGCTGCTGAGGCGGAGGGATGTCCCGCGAGCGCTGCTGCTGCTGCCGCTGCGAGCGCTGGCCACCACCACTGCCGCTACGCTGCTGGGTACCACCCCGACCAGCTCCACCTCCTCCACCACCACTGCCTCCTCCGCTGCCGCCTCCACCGCCTCCACCTCCGCCGCCTCCACCTCCGCCGCTGCCTCCACCTCCACCGCTGGCACCACTACCACCGTCTCCGCCGCTGCTGCCACCACCACCACCACCACCCCCGCCACTAGTCCCGCCGCCACCCCCACTCCCTCCGCCGCCACCGCCACCACCGCCACCGCCCCCTCCAGCTCCACCCGCGCCCTTGCCCCCCTTGCCCTTGTTGGAGCAACGTCTCCCACTAGGGGCAGACGCCGCGCCGACCGACTCAAGACCAAGCAGGTCGGCAGCAGCAGCAGAGGCAACAGAGGGCAGCAAGGGGGAAGGAGAGCACCCCTCAAAGATGGGGGTGCGAGGGTCACCACGAGAAGCACCTACAGCGACTATGCTCTTCTCCGCTGCGAGGAGGGCCTTCTCGAGGAGGTCGACGGTGAGGGTGGTGGGACAGACTGCGAGAAAGTGGTCCCTGACGACGCGAAGGGAGTCAGGGAGGCGCGCGACTACGTAGTAGAGAGCGATGTACATGAGGGGTAGGTTCTTAGCGCAGAACTCAGCAGGAAGGGCGGCGCGGTAGCGAGTGTCACTAGTGCGGAGGTGCGTAATGAGATCAGCGACAGTGGGAAAGGCAGAGAGGTCAGGAAAGAGGTAGGGAAGCATGAGACGGCTCAGTGCAGCAGTGGCAGGGGAGGAGTAGCGCGCAACCACAGCGTCGTACAAGGTCTGAGCACTCTTGTACTGACTAAAGTGCGCACGCTCAGAGGTAGGGAGGTGGCGACGCACAGCAAGACGTGCAGCAGCATCGCGGGTGGCCCACTGAGAGCGGACACTGGGATCAGCATCAGCAGCAGGAGCAGGAGAGGCGCCAGAGGTGAGGTCAAAGAGAGAAAGGCCGTCAGCCCTGTCGCACTGTAAGAACAGCTGCAGGTCGTCTAACCAGACCTCAAAATCAATGGCGCGACCCTCAGCGTCAAAAGCTAGGACACTAGGGGTAGCCATGACGACGACAGCGAAGCAGTGCAAGCAGTAGGGGAAGAGCACGCAGTGACAGTGCGACTGTGCTCACCAGGCAGGGCAGGCCGGGCAACTCTGCAGAAGGGCGGCTCGGCGACTCAGTGACTCGGCTGCTGGGCGGCTCGGCTCCCGGGCGGCTCGGCGGCAGGGCGGCTCGGGTGCAGGGCGGCTCGGCGCCCGGGCGGCTCGGCGGCAGGGCGGCTCGGGTGCAGGGCGGGGCCGGGACAGGGGACGGCGGGGCCGTCAGGGTGCAGCGGCGGGGCCGGCAGGGTGCAGCGGCGGGGCCGTGACAGGGGACGGCGGGGCCGTCAGGGTGGAGCTACGGGGCCGGCAGGGTGCAGCGGTGGGGCCGGGACAGGGGACGGCGGGGCCGTCAGGGTGCAGCGGCGGGGCCGACTGGTGCAGTGGCGGGGCCGTCAGGGTGCAGCGGCGGGGCCGTGACAGGGGACGGCGGGGCCGTGACAGGGGACGGCGGGGCCGTTAGGGTGCAGCGGCGGGGCCGACAGAGGTGCAGCGGCGGGGCCGGCAGGGTGCAGCGGCGGGGCCGGGACAGGGGACGGCGGGGCCGTCAGGGTGCAGCGGCGGGGCCGACAGGTGAAGTGGCGGGGCCGTCAGGTTGCAACGGTGGGGCCGAGAGTAGGACGGCGGGGCCGTCAGGTGACGGGGCCCGCTGCAGCGACGAAGAGGCCGCGCGGCCGGCGTGAGGGCGGCGTGGCGCGGCAGAGCCGAGAGGGCGGCGCGGCGCGGCCGTAAGGCCAGCGCGACGTGGGGCCCAGGCCGCGCGCGCGAAAAAAAGGGAGTCGCGCGCGCGACTCTCGGGGCGCCACAAGGGCAGCGTGACAAGCACTAGGGGGGAGCGCGCCTCGGGGAGAATAGGGCGCGCTCCGGGCAGGAAAAAAATTCGTGGGTGGGCCCTTAAAAAAACGGTCCTTAGGAGGGACCCGCTCTATACCATGTGAAAAGAATGAACAGGAATGAGAATGACTAAGTCAGAGTTGGGTACAAATACAACCCTAGAAAGCTGTACCCCATATGTGCTACCCCACTATAGCCTACAAACATGCATCAGCTATGATAATCTGACAGCCTCGCAGCGGAGCGGTTCTGGTGGTGGTCAGCGCCAGCAACAGCAGCAGCGTTCTCGAGACATCCCCCCTCCCCAACAGCTCCGTGAGTGGTACACGCAGCGTCAGCGTGGTGGGGGTTTTGGTCCGTGCACCTACGTCCTTCGCTCAGGCGACCGCGCGGGTGAGCAGTGTGGGGGTGCCCACCCCACCCAGCGCTGCTTTGGCCGCCTGACGGACGCTTGGCGTCAGTAGTTCCCCGAGGCTAGTGAGATCCCCCGCTGGGGAGAGTTGTTTAGGGCAGGTGTAGCTATCTATAATATTGACTTTGATGCTATCCTACCTGCCATGTATGCTCTGACTATAAGTGATGAGGGTCACTGTTACCGGTGTTTCCCGCCCGACCCGGGCATTGGTACTACTGCGCTAGGTGCTAATGAGGCTGCTGCTCTAGGTGCAAGCGCGTCTGCGCCCTCAGGTACTGGTGAGGCTGCGCTCTCAGGTACTCCGTCGGCTTCGGCCTCCCTCACCTTCACACCTGACTTAGGGGCTTCTCGCTCCTTCTTTCGAGACCGCACCGCACTCACGCCGCTTGGTCGGCCGGTTGTAGTCTCCTTGGCTGACCCCTCTGGGGGTCCTGTCCTTTCTCACTTCTCCACTGTCCTCCCGTGTCCGGCTGCCCCCTCGGACACCTTGTCTGGTCTTTACCTCCCCTCGTTCTCGACGAATTTGGTGAGTGGTGCTGACCTACAGGATGCGGGGGTTCACCAGTTTACTCCTGCGAGTCAGCGGGTGACCCACTGCTCGGACGCCCGCACGGGCCATCACCTGGCCACGTTTACGCGTCGGCCGGGGTCGAGCCTCTACACCCTGACCACTAAGTCTCCTCCTGTCCCTGCGTCAGGCCAGGTAGCTGCGTCGGGTCAGGTGTTTGCTGCCGCGTCCAGGTCTGGTCCTGAGTCTGCCCCCTGCTCGTATCGCCTCCTGTCTCACGAGACCCTCCTGAGGCACCACCGTCTTGGCCACCCCTCCCTGCCTCGTCTTCAGGGCATGGCTTCCCGTGTCCTTGTCTCTTGTCTTCCCCAGTCCCTCCCTCCCCTTCCTTCGGGGCCTGGTCCTTCCTGTGTCCCTTGTGTTGAGGGGCGGCTCCGGGCTGCCCCTCACTCCTCTCAGTTTCCCCCGACAGAGGCTCCACTGCAGACGCTTCACATGGACGTGTGGGGCCCGGCCCGCGTCCGTGGACAGGGTCACGAGCGCTACTTCCTGCTGGTGGTTGACGACTACTCGCGTTACACCACAGTCTTCCCCTTGCGCAGCAAGGGTGATGTCACTGAGGTGCTGATCGACTGGATCCGCGCAGCTCGTCTCCAGCTCAGGAGGAGCTTCGGCTCGGACTTTCCTGTTCAGCGTCTGCACTCTGACCGAGGCGGAGAGTTCTCCTCTGGCCTTCTGCGAGCCTACTGTCGTGCGCGAGGCATCCGCCAGACCTTTACGCTTTCGGACTCTCCACGACAAAATGGGATTGGTGAGCGCCGCATTGGCATGGTCATGGATGTCGCTCGTACGTCCATGATGCATGCGGCTGCCCCCCATTTTCTGTGGCCGTTTGCGGTTCGGTACGCGGCGCATCAGCTCAACCTTCACCCCAGGGTCTTCCGGCCGGAGACCTCCCCAGCTCTGCTGTGGACGAGGAAGGTCAGCGATGCGTCTGCGTTCCGTGTCTGGGGATCTCGGGCGTTTGTCCGCGACTTGTCTGCGGACAAGCTGTCCCCTCGTGCTGCTCCCAGTGTCTTCCTTGTCTTCCCCCCTGACGCACCAGGGTGGCAGTTCTACCACCCCTCCTCTCGTCGTGTTCTGTCCTCCCAAAACGTCACGTTCGACGAGTCAGTCCCCTTCTACCGCCTCTTCCCCTACCGCACTCCTTCCGTCCCCCCGCGCCTGCACTTCCTTGTGCCAGGTCCCCCCCCGGTAGACCCCCTTCCCCCTCAGGGTCCTGCCCCTTGAGCTGTGTCCCAGGTAGACACAGTCAAGCCGGTCGAGGTTGCTGGTGACTCTGGTACTGCTGCAGGTGCTAAGCCTGGGGGTGCTACGCCTGGGGGTGCTGAGCCTGGGGGTACTGCGACCGGGGGTGCTAGGACTGGGGGTGCAGAGCCTAGGGGTACTGCGACCGGGGGTGCTAGGACTGGGGGTGCAGAGCCTGGGGGTGCTACGTCACGAGCTGCTGAGCCTGGGGGTGCTGCGTATGGAGCTGCTGAGCCTGGAGGTGCGGACCCTGCGGCTCTTGGACCTCCCCTTGTGGCGTCTGGCGGTGCTGGGCCTGGAGGTTCTTCGGGTGCTTCGTCTCGGCGGGAGCCACTCTCTCCACAGTCACTGTGCGAGTGGTTTGCCCAGCGCTGGAGGAGTTCTGCTGGAGCTGGAGCTGCTGAGGGTGTTGGCGCTGAGACTACTGTTGTCAGTCCTGGCGGTGGTCCTGCTGCGGGTGCTGCTGGTGCTACTGGAGGTCCTGAACCTGGAGGTGCTGTTGGCGCTGGTGCTGCCGCTGAGGTCACTGGTGTTGTCCCCGCTGTTTCTAGAGCTGCCGCGTGGCCTCGGTCGTACTTTGTTCCGCTCCTTCAGCAGGTTCTTGGTACTTCTCCTCCTGTAGAGTGTTCGCCGCCTGTCCGGTCTCTGTCCCAGTTGCCGCCCGCCTCCCCACTGCCTGCTCCCTCTCCTTACACTGGTCCTACTGGAGGTCTTGCTGAGCGTCGTGAGCCTGCGTCTCGTCCCGCGTCGCCTGTTTGTACTGCTTGCGCTAGTGGTCGCGGTTCGCATCAGCGTCCTCCTCCTGTCCCTGGCACACACCGGATGTCTATGCGTCCGTCCACTACTCCTCTGCGTGCCCCTTTGCCTTCTCCTCCTGAGTCCTCTCTTCCTGCGCTTGCCGACCCGGAGTCGGACTCTCTTCGTGCTGCCTGTCCTACTCTCACGTGCCTCCTTGCTAGTGTCGTCACTGACCCCTCTTTTGAGTCCACTGCTGCGTCTGCTCTTGTTACTGAGCTCGTCGACTTTGCTGCTCGCTGTCGTCTAGACTACGCTGCTAGTCTTGTTGCTGAGTCTGCGTCTATCTGTCCTCCGTCCGTCGGGGGTGAGTGTGCTCTTGGCACGGACGTCCTTGAGGACAGGTAGCACGAGTTCTAGTGTGTGGCTGCTGCTTCGCCTCATCTCGCCCCTGAGGGAGACCCGGATGCACTAGACATCCCGACTCCGCGCTCTTACGCGGAGGCTGTAGAGGGTCCCTACTCCTCTCAGTGGCACGCAGCTATGGATGCAGAGATGGCTTCCTGGAAGTCCACAGGCACCTACGTTGACGAGGTTCCCACTCCTGGGGCGAACATCGTTAGTGGCATGTGGATCTTCAGGGTGAAGCGGTCGCCGTGCTCTCCAACTGTCTTCAAGGCGCGGTACGTGGCTCGTGGCTTCAGTCAGCGGCAGGGAGGTGACTACTTTAAGACCTTCTCTCCCACCCCGAAGATGACCACTCTTCGGGTGCTGCTGCACATAGCCGCTCAGCGCGACTACGAGCTTCACTCTCTTCACTTCAGCACTGCATTCTTACAGGGTAGCCTGCACGAGGAGATCTGGCTGCGCCGTCCACCTGGCTTCACTGGGACTTTCCCTCCTGGCACCCAGTGGAGCCTCCGACGGCCAGTCTACGGTCTCCGCCAGGCACCGCGTGAGTGGCACGACACACTGAGGACTACGCTTGCGGCTCTTGGGTTTGCTCCCTCTACTCCTGACCCGTCGTTGTTTCTTCGCAGCAACACCTCTCTGCCGCCGTTCTACATCCTTATGTACGTCGACGACTTGGTCTTTGCCACAGCTGACACTGCTGGACTCGCCTACGTGAAGTCCGAGCTGCAGAAGAGACACACGTGCACAGAC